ATGTCTGATAGAATTCACTAATGAAATCTGGGCCTGGAATGCTCTCTATGGGAAGATTTTTTTATTGCAAATTTATTTTTTAAAGTGTTTAAAATTATTTTTTAAATTATATTTGAGTCTAGTTGACACACACTGTTAGTTTGGGGTGTACAACTTAGTGATTAGACAAATTCATACATTATGCTGTGTTTACCGCAAGGATAGACGTTGCTATTACAGTGTCATTGGCTATACTCCTTACACTGTGCCTCTTATTCCTGTGACGTATTCATTCCATCCTGGAAGCCTGTGCCTCCCATGCCCCTTCACCCATTTTGCCCAGCCTCCCATCCTCCTCCCCTCTGGCAGCCATCAGCTTGTTCTCTGGATTTATAGGTCTGATTCTGCTGTTTATTAATTTGTTTTTTTGTTATTTTAGATTTAATTTCTCGAGTAGATATAGGTCTATTCAGGTGTTCTACTACTTTTTGTGTGTCTGGTAAGCAGGATTCCAAAGTGGCTCCCCAGATTTCTCTCTCTAATAGCCAAGGCTGTGAATATGGTATGTCATAGTCATGATTGTGTTATGTTACAGGTAAAAGGGAGGGGCACCTGGCTGGCTCAGTCGGAAGAGCATATGACTCTTGATATTGGGGTTGTGAGTTCGAGCCCCACCATTGGGTATAGAGATTACTAAAATAAAAAGTAAAAGGGACTTTGCAGATATAATTAAGGTTACTAATCGGTCAACTTTGAGTTAATCAAAAGGGAGATTATCTAGGTAGGCCCAGTATAATCACATGAGCTCTTTAAAAGCAGAGAATGTTAAAAAAAAAAAAAAGTAGAGCTTGTCTCTGGCTGAGAGCAAAAGAGGAAGTCAGAGGTTAGAGCATGAGAAGGATTGCGTGTTACTCTTGCTTGCTTGCAAATGTAAGGGAGGCTGCATGTCAAGGAATAAAGATAGCCTCTAGAAGCTGAGAGCAGCCCCAGGCTGACAGCCACCAATGGAAAGGAACTAAATTCTGCCATCAGCCCAAAAGAGCTTTAAAGCAGATTCTTCCCCAGAAGCTCCAGAGAATACCCCCAGCCCAGCCTGGCCAACACCTTGATTTTAGCCTGATGTGTTACCCAAAGCAGAGAACGCAGTAGGGCCTGCTTGGACTTCCGACCCACCACCTGCTGCAGATCACCGTTTGACTCACTCACCTCTCTTAAGTCTTTGCTCACATCTCACCCACCCCCTCAATGAGGCTTACCCTGACCTATTTACTACTGCATATGTCCACCCCATTTCACCCCATTCCCAGCATGCCTGAGCTCCATTACCCTGCTCTAGTTCCCCGCCCCCGTTATGCTTATTCCTTTCTTACATACCATGTAATTTACCTACTTATTATATCCATTGTTTATTTTCTGTCTTCCTCTGTTAGAATATAATCTCCATGAGATCAGGGAACTTTGCCTGTTTTGTTCATTGATGTATCCCAAAAGCCTAAGTGAGTGCCTGCCACAGTAGGAGTTCAACAAATACGTGTTGAATGAATGAATATACTTTTCTCATATTTATTCTTACAAAAATGTGTCCGCCTAACACACTTTATTTTGCATATATCCCCAAATATATTACTTCATGGCCACCCCAAAGAAAGACACCCCAAAGTTTCATGAATAATTACATTCAACTTCCAAGTGCAAAATCTCTGGGGGCTTATCTTCATATTCTCCAATATATGGACTAAAAATGTTACATTTATCTCCGAACGTTCTTTTTAAAAATTTTTAAATTTAATTTTATTTTTTAAAGATTTTATTAGAGACAGAGCATGAGCATGAGCAGTGGGAAGGGGCAGAGGGAGAGAGAGAGAAGCAGACTCCATGCTGAGCAGGGAGCCCGATGCTGGACTCAATTCCAGGACCCTGGGATCATGAGCTGAAGGCAGATGCTTAACTGACTGAGCCACCCAGGCATCTCCATTCTTTTTTTTCTAAGATTTTATTTTTAAGTCATCTCTACACCCAACATGGAGCTCGAACTCACAACCCCAAGGGCCATGCTCCACTGACTGTGCCAGCCAGGTGCCCCATCTCCAAATATTCTATGTAAAGTATTGGGAGGAAACGAGTATGATAGAGCAGGGGACAAAATTAGAGTGGAATCTACAACACTTGCTTTAATAACTGGTCACAAGACCATATTGGTATTTATAATGTTCTTTCTAAAAGATCCATTTTATTTCCCTTTTACCTCAGTTAATGGTGGTATTTACTTGGTGGTATGACCTAAACTTTTATTTCTGAGGGGTAAGCCCTTGGTGATTCTACCTGTGTGTGGTAGTAATCTTTAACTTTTTAAAAACATGAAAAATATTGAAGTACAACACACAGAAGAGTAAACCAAGCAACTTCCACTTCTGACAGTGATGGAGTAATTGGTATGAAACCTGCTTTCCCACCATAAGCAATTGTAAAACTGGACAAACTAATGAAACAACCAGGAGGATCCATTTCCTTGCTCATTTGGGTGGTTGGCAGATTTCATTTCCTTGTAGGTTATAGAATTAATGACCATGTTACTTACAGGCTGTAAACTGGGGAATGTTCCCAGCTTCTAGAAGATACCAATTTTTTGGTTTATATCCCCTTTCCTCCATCTTCAAAGTCAGAAATGGCAGGTTGAGTCCTTGTCATGTTGCATCTCTCAGACCTTTTCTGCTCCCGTCTTCCATTTTTAAGGACTCGTGGTTTGATTGGACCTATATGGGTGATCCAGAATGATCTCCCTATTTTATGTAAACTGATTAGGAACTTTAATTCCCTCTGCAGTCTTAACTCCTCTTCTCCGTGTAACATAACATTCACAGGTTCTGAGGATCAAAACATGGACATCTTTGTGGGGAGCCATTATTCAGCCAACCACACCCAAATATGTTCTCTTTAACTGTAATGGAACCAAACTAGAAATCAGTAACAGAAATGCAACAGGGAAATCGATGAACATTTGGAAATAAAACTTTAGCACTGTTAGGTAATCCATGGATCAAAGAGAAAATCTCAAAGGAAATTTTTAAAATACATAGAATTGAATGAAAATACAATGTATCAAAATATGTGGGACTCATCTAAGGCAGTGCTGGAAGGGAAATTTTTTGAGATATAGTTTACCCTTTCAAAAATTCAGTGGTTTTTAATATATTCACAGAGTTGTGCAACCATCACCACTAATTTAATCACCCCAAAAAGAAACCCCGTAACTATTTGCAGTTACTTCCCATTCCTCCTGTTCCTCTCTCCCCTAGGCCCTAGAAATAACTAATCTACTCTGTTTCTGTGGATTTGCCTATTCTTCTTGCATGTAAATGGAATCTTACAATATATGTCTTTTTGTGACCGGCTTCTTTCACTTAACATGTTTTCAAGGTTCATCCATGTTGTAGCATCTATCAGTACTTCATTCCTTTTTTTTTTTTTTTCTAAAGATTTTATTTGTAAGTTGCTAAGAGAGTAGATCTTAAAAGTTCTCTTCAGAAGAAAAAAATTTTTTTCCAAAGATTTTATTTGTCAGAGCGAGAGCACAAGCAGGGGGAGCGGCAGGCAGAGGGAGAGGGAGAAGCAGGCTCCCCACTGAGCAAGGAGCCAGATGCAGGACTCAGTCCCAGGACCCTGGGATTATGACCCGAGCAGAAGGCAGACACTTAACCGTCTGAGCCACCCAGGCGTCCCAGTACTTCATTCCTTTTATTAATCAAATAATATTACACTGTTTGTTTACCCATTCAACAACTGATGGACATTTGAGTAGTTTGTACTTTTATTGGTTATCACGAATAATGCTGCTGTGAATATTCCTGTGCAGGTTTTTGTGTAAACATATGTTTTCAATTCTCCTGATACAGTAACTCATTTTTACCATTTTGAGTTAATACAAAATTCTTTTCCAAAGTGAGACCATTCTACAATCCCATGAAAGAAATTTTTTAAAAATAGAAAAGAGGGGGGCACCTGGGTGGCTCAGTCGGTTGAGCGTCTGCCTTCAGCTCAGGTCATGATCCCGGGGTCCTGGGATGGAGCCCTGCATCGACCTCCCTGCTCAGCAGGGAGCCTGCTTCTCCCTCTCCCATTCCCCCTGCTTGTGCTCTCTCTGTCAAATAAATGAATAAAATCTTAAAAAAAACTAGAAGAGGAAAGTTCTCAAATCAATAACCTAAGTTTCCTTCTTTAAGCAACTAGAAAACAAAAAGCAAAATGAAACCAAAGAAAGCAGAAAGAAGGAGATAATAAAAACAAGGACAAAGGGGCGCCTGGGTGGCTCAGATGGTTAAGCGTCTGCCTTCGGCTCAGGTCATGATCCCGGGGTCCTGGGATCGAGTCCCGCATCGGGCTCCC